CATTTCTCATGTCAGCGTTCGTCGAAAGGTGAAAAGTGAAAAGCAAATTGCAAGAGAAAGGAACATTTGCCGGGACACGCCTATTTTTGCATACATATATACATATCACAGTAAACACGCCACAAATATATGTGATACGTGTAGTTGATACCCGCGGCCTATATATATCCTCAGCGCAAGTGAGAATTCCCAGCCCTTATCTGGTCCCCTCTTGGTGTTTAGCAGATTCGCTTCGTATTTTTTGCGGGCCCTGAAAGCAACCAAGTAGGATCCCTGCAAAGTTATCTCCATTCGCAGAGTGTACCAAACAGATCTGAAAGAATAAAAAAAAAAAAAAAAGAGAATATCAAAAATGGGAGCATACAAGTATATTCAAGAAATATGGAAGAAAAAGCAGTCCGATGCGATGCATTTCTTGCTCCGAATTAGAACTTGGGAATACAGGTAGGAGTTCTTCCCCCCCAGAGGACTCGGCACGCCTTAAAGGCGCACATGTAGCTAGTTGTAATGTGGTCCTCATTTTCTCTACACGCATAAATGCTCATTTGTGTGTTAAGGGCATCACCTTGGGGAATGGTTCATATGCGGTGTATGAAGCAGTCCTTCGGAAAGAAAAGAAAAAAAAAGGTACTGCCCTGAATCTGCCTCTTAACTTAACGTTGTTTTTTTTTGCTTCTCTCATCTTCACAGGCAACTGCCAGTTGTACACCGAGTATCGAGACCGAGCAGGCCCGACAAAGCCAGGCGACTAGGCTATAAGGCACTCCAAGGATTCGTAATATACAGAGTGCGAGTGAGAAGAGGAGACAGAAAAAAGAGAGTAAGAAAAGGTGTAGTGCACGGAAAGCCAAAGCATCAAGGTGTACATAAACAAAAGTCCACAAGAAACTTAAAAAGTGTTGCAGAGGGGAAGGTAGGAAAAAGTATCTGTGGAAACCTGAGGGTTCTAAATAGCTACTGGGTTGGACAAGATGCTGTGTACAAATATTATGAGGTTATCCTAGTTGATCCCATGCACAATGCTGTGCGAAACAATCCCAAAATTAATTGGATCTGTAACCCTGTACATAAACATAGAGAATTGAGAGGACTGACATCGGCCGGTAAGAAGTACAGAGGCCTCCGCGTCAAGGGACACTTGTCAGCCAAGAGCAGACCGTCCATCAGGGCCAACTGGAAGAGAAGGCAATTAATTAAGTTGCGAAAATGTAGATGAACGCTGAAACAGTAGGCGTTGTGTGAGGAGTGGAAATCCAGGGTGTGCCAGGCGAAAAAAAGGGGGGAGCAGCTAGGAAGGGAATGAAACCGAAACGAGAACCACCCAAAAGGTACCCTGGACAGATTCGAGGCGAAGGCAAATGCGCAGCCAAAACAGATGCGCGTCGAAAATGCCAATGGCGATGGCAAGAAAAATCTATCCAACCCTCTCCCCTATCATTAATTAAAAGTTTTTTCAAATTTATCCGATGCCAGAAGATGGGGCGTTGCGGTGAGCCGACTGACCCCTGCACGCGCGAACGTGCCCACTCTGTGTGTCTCTGTGTGCAAGTATATGAGCATGCATAGGCACATGGAACTCTTCCTGTACATGTGTGTACTGCATATGTCTACTACCTATCTCTACCTTATGTGTGTAAAGACAACCCAAGCCGGGTAACCCCCCTCGCACACGTGTGCGCTGTGGTGTCAGAAAGGCTACCTCCTTTTTGTTACATGTACACATACCTTGCCTGAACAGAGACCTTCACCACTGCCCCCGCTCGAAAAATAAAAAAACGATTTTTTAAAAATAGCAACATGGGATTGGGCCTATGGTTGCTTGTGCATATGGCTGATTGGGTAAAGCGGCACACACGTTGCAGCAATTTTGCGCCAAGAGAACGTCCCCCAGAGGCGAAAAAGTGAAACGGAAAGTGTTACCCCATGGGGCGAAAAACTGAAACGGGAAGTGATTCCCCCAGGGAGTCGCACAAATGGCTTCCCACAATTGGGGACTTTCGTTTTGCCAAGACGGTTAGTCACACCACGCCGATGTAAACATCGGAGCATTCATCCATGATAGTGCCATAGTTGCCTCGTCAATGGAATTCTACCCGCAAGTGGTGTAAGTGGGATGGGGCAGAAGGACCCGATAAAGATTCCCAGTTGGTCAAACTCACTGAACTTCATAACGGAGTAGTAACCACGAATTGACTTTCACAAAAAAAAAAAAAAAAGAAAAAGGTCACCCAAACGAGGAGCATAACGGAATTAATTCGACTGGGTAATAAGATGGGCGATGAAATGCACAGCAGGATGGACGACTCGAAAAACCGTCTGCTGGGGAACCTCGTGGACAACGTGGTGAGGCACCCCAAAACGGCGACGCGAAGTTAACATACGTATGAATCGTTCATGCTGAGGTTTCCAACATGGACACACCGTGATTACTGAGGGGGGCATCCTCTTCTTTTGGGTCACTTCGCTATGCCTAGCTGCCTCAGTGGGCGCAGAAGTGCAAAAGGTACTGCAGCAGGTGGGCGGAGTTCCAAAATAAAGGGCTATATTTCTTCCTTCGGACGTTGAAAAGGCAGAGTATCAATTTGTCGATACTAAAAAACACTTCCATCTCCTTGTAAGGCATATTCTTTTTCGTTTTTGAAAACTCTAGGGATTCATTTACGTCCCACTGGAATCCCATGTCAGAGTAGCAAAGCAGGAGGTAACATAAATCTGTGACGTCATCATAATAGTGCAAATGTCCTCTGGGTTCTGCCTTCATTTGATGCTGCTCTACGCCCGCCACTACACCTGCCTCTTGCTCTCCACGTGCATTTCGCCTCCCCCCCCTCACGCGGAGCACAAAGAAAATGTTGACGTCTGCCTTTCTTAAAGAGATGCTTGAAACGCAAGCAAGCGAATTCGACTTATTTGTGTCTTCTCCCTCCTGACGGTGCTTCCCCCGAGTTGTTGCATTCACTCTATATGTGTATACATCCGTCACGAACACAGCTTGGTGAGATTCTTTCTGGGAGCTCATCACTTTGTTTAGAAAAGCTGCACAGGAGTACATAGCAACGTAGTCGACATTTTTCGGCATCGTACATTCGTATTTCAAATAAAAGAGCAGAAGGATGAGTTCGAAATCTTCCAGGTGGCTCTTTCTAAAATGGGTTCTTTTTACAGCAATTTTTGTGTCCCTCTGCCCTATCCGGCAGTACCAATTTGAAAACTCATGAAATAAATGAACGGCATTGTACAGATACTTGTGGTAGGTTTTGGATTTTATTTTTTCATTCATCATGACTAGGATGTCAATTAATTGCTCATCGGGGGAAGGAGGGTGGTCCCTTTTCCCCTCCCCAGGCTTTCTTCCACCCCTATAAATGACACTCCTTTCCATGTTCATGTCTTTAAAGACGGGAATGTTTTTCATGGGGGTGAAAAACAACCCCTTCGCGTTGTACTCGAGGAGTACATAAAAGTACTTGTTTGTTTTATTTTTTTTTAATTTCCTTTTTTGGTAAGCTTCAAAATTGTCTGATGTGTATAGGATATCCCTCCTGCTAAGTTGCGTAGGTCGATCCTTCTTGTCCGAGGGGGAGTCACCCATGTTATCCTCTCCTCTGAAGTCACCAGTTGGCGACGGCAACACAGAACTGTCTGCTTTATCGTCGTCCCTCGCGTCAGATTTACACATTTTCTTCTTTTTCTCCCTTTTTATTTGCACAAGGATGAACGCGTCCCATGTGATGTGGTCCATGCTGATCATTTCGCAGTTTCGTCGACATGGGATCGTACTTCGATACAAATTGCGGTTCGTACTTGGACACACGTTGGGGTTCCTGCTTTGGCTTCCATATGAATTTCCTAGCCCGCCTTCCATCCCATTTGGGGTTTCCCTTTCGGCCTTTTTCCCAAGCAGGAGGTGCACACTGTGTATGTCCGTGTTAAGTTGGTTGTCCCTCACAGCTTTCACAAATTTGTCTCTATTTGCTACGTTCATTCGTTTATTGAAGAATGGGCTTAGAGCTCGAATGAGCGGATCTGTCAGATCAGCTTGTAGGGTTTCCCCTATACATGAGACGTTTCCCGGTGTCATGTCGGGGAGGAGGCATGTAGGGACGCCGCTCCCTCTCAAGCAGTTATTTCCCCTCTCAGCGTCGTCATCCAAGTGACTTTCCATATGGGCTTCATAATGCTCTATATCAGTAATATCCTTGCACTTCCAGCATCTGATTTTTATATCTGTGTAATCCTTGCCCAAGATGCTATTTCGCAAAGGGGCCAATTTGCACTCCTTTATGTTTTCCCTGCACATGGGACAGTAGTCGAACTTTTTTAAAACGTATTCTATGCATTCCTTGCAAAACATGTGGCCACATTTTGTCCTCACTGGCTTGTACAATATCAACATGCATATTGGGCATCGGAAGTTATCATAATTTTTTTTTTTTTCAATTATAACTATAAATCTCTTTTCCTCTTTTTTTCTCGTTATGGGGAATAGTTTGCTCATTAAATTATCCACCTTGGTCCTTATGTTCCATCTGAGTTGCTGGATGTAATCCGCGTTAATTTGCATTTCACTCAGAGTGGCGAGTAGGTTGTTGCTTTGGCTGATGTTGCCATTGCGCCTGGGGTTGGGATGCTGCAGCTCCCTCATTGTTCTGCGTGTAGCGGAGGGTGTGCAGCTTGGCGGCTATTTCGTTGGAGGGCTGCTCAGCTGGAGCGCCCCTTCTTTGGAGCCTCCTTCGTTGTAGCCTGCTTCCTAGACGGTTGGGTTAGCTACTTATTCGCGGTTACGCGCAACGAATCCGACTCTACACGGGCGGAAATCCAATGGAGCAACTGCTCACCGAAGGGAAATCGCGCGCTTAGGAGGCACACACGGGTGTAAAAAAATCTGTGCACATATATGTATACATATATATGTACGCACGTGAGTTAAGGAGTGGGGAGACAAAGAAAAAAAACAAAATTAAGGAGAAAAGCACAGGTGTTAGTCTAAATTGAGAAGCTTCGCCTCACCGTACAATTCAGAGGATCTCAAAAAGGAGTGGTAACCTGCGGCAGGAAAAGGCGAGGGAAACGAAAAAAAAAAAAAAAAAAAAAAATATTTACATATTAACATATTACAAAAAAAAAATATATGAACAGATTTAAAAAAAAATAAGAACAAATATAAAAAAATTATATGAAGAAGTCATGGAAAAAAAAAACACTATTAAGCAAAAGAGCCAAACCTGGTGAACGAAGAACTGAACAAAGAAAGCACAGTACAAATACACAACATGACGAACTCGCGATTTCGCAATTTTACCAGTTCGCCCTGCCACCACTTCGCAAACTTGTAGCGTTTTTTTTTTTTTCCACGCCCTCCTTCAGTCCTTTTCGCCTTGGGGGCCCTCGAAATGTTGGGCGCTGAAGGGGCAACCTCTGCGGTGAAGCAACACCGTTAGGGAGGGGGCGGATATTCAGGTCCGCTTGCACACACATCATAGAAGCTCATCCGTGCCCAGTAAAATGCATTTTCCACCTTTGAACAGCCTCCTACTGAGATGTTTAATTATTTTCCTTTACCTAAGTGGGTCACCAAATGGGGGGGTGCAGCTGGCAGGTAGAAAAATAGTAGCCCACAAGAGGCAGCCGCCTCTGCATATAATCAATCCGATAAAGGGCGACATCACACACCACTCGGGAAATTTCAAATTGTTAAGAAAACTGAAATTTATTTTTTTTAAAAAGAAAGAAAACAAGTATGAAATGAAAAATTTGGAAAACGTGCCCCTGTTTGTTGTAACCAACGAATTCGACGACGCAATTTTGTCGTTCAGCTTGGACTACAACAGGGGCGAGAGGGGGGGGCAAACGGGGAGACAGGAAGAGGAAGAGATAGAGAACCATGTAGAGAAGCAAAAAAGCGGAGACGCAACCACTAGCGGGGACGCAAGCAATGGCGGTGGCCCACCCCCTAGTCACACTGCTAATTCACGGGAAGGACCCCCGCCAGCCCACGGGGACAACCAACGCGACGATGTAACACTCGATAAAAATGGTCGCGAGGGGGAGGAGCTGTTCCCCCTGTTAAAAGTTAACCAAAACAAACGGAGAGAAATCAATTTAAAAAACATACACAACAATAACGCGGTTGGAATTTTCTTCTTCGATTTGAAAACTGCAGAAGCGTACAGAGATGATATATTACACTTATTTAATAAAAAGTTAAAAGAAAAAAAAAACAATAAATTATTCTTTGGGTCCAAGATCAAATTAACCAACTTGAAACATTTTCTGGATCTTAAAAACTCCCACAGCAACACAATCGATTTTGTCCTAGTCCCGCATTACGAGCAGCTCCAACACGTATTAAAGAATAAAAAGGTTTTTTATGGCACCCCGGTGTACTACATTAATAAGGTAACTCTACATAAATCGGCGATTAAAAAGCGTTTTTATGAGGTGTTTTTTTCCAAGACTTTGAAGAAGGATGTCCGGGTGGAGTTATATCCAAATGTGTTTCTGACTTACACACTGGATGGGTCGAGTGATGATCGTGCCTCCCTCATTATACAGCTAGAAACGCCAGACAAGAAAAAGTACGTACCCATCTTCTTCTCCTACGAGCAAGCTAACCAATTTTACAAAATCTTTTTGGACAAATTTAAAGGCCATTTTCACGAATACTGTCTTCCCACTCCGCGCATTAATTTGAATTCCTTTGAAAATTTATTAATTCTATTAAAAATGGCCAACGAGGAAAAAGTACATCCTTTTTACAACATTTTTTTTGTGCCCATGGGCAGCTCCCCTTATGAAGAAAAATTGTCTGCACAGAGGGTCAACGTTTTCTCCTTTTACACGAAGAAGCTTTTCCAGAGAATAAATTACGACTTGTTCCGATCGTTTAGGAAAAACCTCAATTATTTAATTGCGGATTATTTGTACGATTAGGGGGTAGGGGTGGCGTGAGGAAGATATATATACCAACTGAAGTTGGTGTAACCATATGATTCATCCGTGGCTATAATGCCAAAATAGCAAAGCCCATGATGTGCTCATACAAATTACCATGTGCAGTTTTATCTGCGCAAGGGAGAAGCGATCAGAAGAAAAAAAAAAATAATATGTTTTGCATCTTCCCCTCCTTGACCGCCCTCTCCCCCAGTGGTACCCCACTCCGTGAGCATTACATTTGCGAACTGTGCTGAAGATCTTCTTGCTTCTTCACGAACACACGTTGAGGTGCTTCCCCTTCGGAGTTCCGCCTCCAAATGATTTCTTTTTTTTTTCCTTTTTTTTTTTCCTCTCTGCATCCAATTTTTGGCCGTTTTGATGCGACCCACGTTGAGCAACGTAGATCCACATCGATCCAGTTTTAACCCGTTTTGAACCCATTTAGAACCCATTTAATTTCTCCCTCGTATCGTACTTATAGTCAGCACAGCGAAGTGGACGAATCCGAGATAGGTTCAGTGACCGCGGTAAGTCACACCAGGGTTGGAGAGTGACACATGACCAGGTGAAGTCACCTCGGTAGAGCAACGAAGTGCAGTATGATCAGAGTATTTCCACTCTGAGGCCACTTGGCGCTCCCCCTGTTTATCCCACGAAAAAATTCGCGGAGAAAACGTCCACTTTCGGGAAAGGGTCACATTTGTTTTCACTTCAACAATGTGGAGGTTGACTAACTGGAGTAGTCCACTTCACTTCACGTCGCAGAGCGCGACGAATGGGTTCTAAAACCCCCCTCACCCCCACCCCCAAGAAGGGTCCGCCCATTTTTAAACACACAGAAGTGAAGCATCTCAAATCGATTCAGTGATGATTGCGATGGTGTAGGAACAATTAATTTGTGCATTACTGCAAAGCTCTCCAACTGTGCTAACCGCTGATGTAGCGACCGCTTTACGGGGGGAACGTAACTCATAAGCGCATGCACATATGAGCGGCGAAACAGATGCAGGAGAGGAGGCGCCTACACACAGAAAAAAAGCGTCCCCTAACGTAGTCAGATGAGTGAGGATAAATCTCTCCACGTAGAAAAAGTGTAAATATATATATACAACTACCCGGAAAGAGTACTAACAGAGGAGGAAACAACCCCTTAGTAATGAGAACAACTATGAAAGCAAAGGGGACAGTGAAAATTGTACTGTTCGGCGCTCCCGGGGTGGGGAAGGGTACCTTCGCGGAGATCTTGTCCAAGAAAGAAAAGCTGAAGCACATAAACATGGGGAACATACTCAGGGAAGAAATAAAAAAGAAAAGTACCATAGGGAAAGAAATCGACAAAGTAGTTACGAGTGGAAATCTAGTCACAGATGATTTGATAATAAGGATAGTGAAAGACGAAATAGCTAAAGTGACAATACAGAAGGATTGCCACTTTAAGGGGTTTATTTTGGATGGCTTCCCACGTACCTTATTTCAGTGTAAAGAGCTGGAAAAAATAACGAGCATCGATCTGTTCATCAATATACACATGCCGAGGCATATCCTGATTAAAAAAATTCTGGGTAGGAGAATTTGCAATGAATGCAACAGAAATTTTAACATTGCCCATATTCGAGAGGACCCGTATGATATGCTTCCTATTCTTCCGCCCCAGGACTGTGACAAGTGTAAGGGTAACCCAAAGCTACACAGCAGGAGTGATGACAGTGAGGAAATTGTTTTCCACCGACTGAGCACGTACGAATTGACCTACTCTCCTCTCATTAATTTTTTTAAAAACTCGAACTGTAACCTCGTCGACTTTGAGATAAAGCGAGGGCTGCTGGACTTCGACAGCTTTTACCGCCTGGTCGGGCGGCACCTTTAGCTCATCGGTTGGCGCCGCTGTTCGAGGTATTAGCAGTCTTAGCGGTGTTTGGCGGTGTTAACCGTGCTAGCCGTGTTAGCGGGGGGGCCCCACAGTCGATATTCTCATGGTGACGCCTTGCCCCTATTAGTGCCAACCCCGTAGGGCCCCATCTTCCCCGTGCAGCGCGCAACAGCAAAGAAGACATAGAACGATCATTTTGATTTTCCCCCTTTTGAGTTATCCTCCACTTTGTGGGGTTTTAAAAAAAGAAATATACTCCAGGTGGGTGCCACCTTCATGCGTTTTTGAAACACTTAAAAAAAAAAAAAAAAAAAAGGCCTGACGTGTGTGCGCCAGGGGGAGGGTTTAGAAGCGAGAAGAACTCAGGACGCGAAATACGTGATGCACAATGCCGAGCGTGCTCCGTGTCGGGAGGAAGACACTCCATGCACAGCCGAATTCCCCAAGTTGTTTCAAATCGTGGGGCGGTTAAAATAGGGGATCTTTTCTCTCTCCTCCCCCGGCACTGCACAAACCAACCTCTCCTAGAACAAGAAGGGTAAGGTCACATTCGCCTCTTCCCTCCCCTTTTCGAATGAAAATTGTACAAGCCTTTACTATTATTATTTTGATCTCTATTGTATGCCATCAGGTGCTGCACATTGGGGTAGAGAGTGACGGTGGGCTTCAGGAGGACGGGCCTGTTTACCCTAAAGTCTCCCGGCTGCACAGAACTGCTGTACAGAGTTGTCCTTGGTTTGACATTCCTCTCATAGTAAGGAGAAGCATTCACAGCGAGATTGTTAAGCTTTCTCTTTTTCGAAATAAAATTGCTATCAGCTAAATGGTCTAAGACTTGGGGTCGATCCTCGTCATAGTATTTATTTCTCTCGTCTCTTTTCTGAACTCCTGTTTTCCCACGTCCATATTTTCTCCTTCCGATAATGCCCAGATCCTCATCCACTCGTATGATTCTTCCGTCGAGAATGGAGTTGTTTAGAAAGTTGACTGCCTGCGTGTACCCCTCTTTGCTTCGGTAGACGACGAAGCAGAAGCCGCAGGGCGACTTCTCCGTTCGGTGCAGTCCCATGATTATGTTCTCCACGTTTCCCGCCTGGCGCATGTGCTGCGGGGGGGAAGTGCGGGTGATGAGGTGGGTAGGAAAATTGAGTATGGCTATGCAGGTGGGACGCCGAAGATGTGACGACACAGGGTTAACGATGGGGGAGCAACTCCGGAACGCGCCACTCCCCCTACTTACCTCATAAATCTGCTGCTCCGTTGTATAAATGGACAGATTCCCAATGTACACCGTTTTGGAAAATTGAATTTTGTTCAGCCAGTCCTCATAGTCGCTGCAAAGGGCTCTATCGTAATACTTCCTCTTCTTGTAGATCTCTTCGTACAAATGCGACATGGTTTCTTCTTTTTTTATATTTCGCTTTGAAGAAAAACGGCTCGACCGAAATGGGTTGCCTTGGGGGAAGATGCAACGCCTGACAACACGTAGACGATAATGCCTACGCCTGTTACACGTGTTCCTCGTGAAATAGGGGGCGTGTCTCCCCAACGGGATTGATTTTTTGCTAACCACTCGATAGGGTACGTTCGAGGGCTCTCACTAGACGCTGCTTGGCCAAATAACAGCGCAAAAAGGGGAGGCTAAACAAAGAGGCGCACTCGCAGATCTTCCAAGAGGGGATTTTATAGGCAGACTTAAAAGTTAAGAATCCATACATAATTATTTCTATTTATATACATTACATGTCACACGAAATGGAGGAAAAAAAACAATCTGAGCAAGAACGTCACTTGAAAAAAAAAAAAAAAACGACTGCGTTGGTTGGGGCGCGGAAATTTCCTACTTTACAGCTCCTGCGAAAAAAGGCAGTTCGTTTGATTGGTTTTCTTTTTTTTTTTTTTTCCCCAAAAAAATTATTTCCAATCCAAAAGGTAACCCCAAACGTGTAAGGCAAACCCCTAAGTGCAGTAAAAAAAATAAAAAAGGGCCCTCTCCACTCAAGTGAGTAACGCTTAAAACATTGTAGTGCTACCTGCCTATACCAACTGGGGGAATCAAGAAACTACTATTTGGGCATACATATATTAACTGTGTGCTTTTCCCATTCGCATGAGGCTTGCCCCGTTATAGTCTCATACACCGAAGGAGGAAAGGAACCACGAAAATCCAGGCCCCCCACTTCGAAAGTGTTCGCACGTTTCAGTTGCGCGAGGTGGAAGAGGACGCAAAAAGTGGGCGACGAATTTGTGCGTAAATTGGGCCGCTGCAGCTACGAAAAAAATATTGCCACGGGGAGTAGTTAAAAATGTGGGAAGTAGAAACGGGAAAGTAATAAAAAAATAAAAATAAAAAAAAATAAAATAAAACATAAATAAATAAAATAAAATAAAGAAATTCAAAATAACGCAGAAGGGACGGAGAGGGGAGAAAAACCATTCAGCCCCCTCTGGCCATTCCGCGCTCCGCTTCGCTTATCTCCACAGGACAGCCCAATACAGCAGTTCGAACATGCGAACATATTTATGCATTCTCGCCAGAGGGCGGAACGTGTCGCGTACACTTCGGAGAATAAACCTGAAGTTGTTCGTACAGAACGAAAGGGGAACTACACTTTCCCTGTTTGTTAACACGAGCTGGTGAGAGGCCACCCACCGGACAGATCACAAGGGGTGAACAAACGTAGCCGGTGCCCCCGTGTCCACTTGGCTATCCAGCAAATTACCTGACGAAAAGGGAATTCCAAGCCTGGCAATTCTGATACCTCCACAAGTGGACGAGCAGGACAGAGCGATTCTGATTTGACGAGCGGGACGGAGCGGTTCCCATTTGACGAGCAGGACAGATCGGTTCTGATTTGACGTGACGAGCTTTTTGGGGGCAACCCCCGCGGAAAAAGATGAAGGCCGTGTCGATAAGGCAGCTGGGCGCCATAATCATCCTAGATAACTGTGGGAACCGAATCGCAGTGAAGTACTACAACGACCAGTTCCCACCGAAGCGAGAAAGCAAATTGATGCGCAAGAGTTCAAGCAAAGATTCGATAGGCAGCCCGTTTGAAGACACTTATAATAATTTACGCACAGTGGAGGATCAAAAATTATTTGAAAATGACATAACGGAGAAAGCTAGGAAGCTGGGTGGAGACTCCACCGAAACGGAAGTCTTAGTTCTCAACAAATATACCATCCTTTATCTGCTAATAAATGATGTGAGCCTCTACATCGTAGGAGACGAAGGTGACAACGAGATTATTTTGCATGAGATTATGCAGACAGTGCAGCAGTGTCTGGAGAATGTCACTAATAATCAGATCGGGAAGAAACAACTCTTGGACAAACTGGATTCAATTTATTTAATCCTCGACGAAATTGCTGATAGCGGCATTATTATGGAGACCAACCCAAACGTGATTATAAACCGGCTGTATATGCAGGAGAGTGACTTGCAGGAGCACACACCCCTCAACCAGGCCATCTCCTCGGCTAAAGAGAACATCATTCGCAGTTTGCTCAGCGGCACGTAGGGCACGGCGAGCAGCGTCCAGCGGCATCGGGAAGCTGCAAGAAGCTGCAAGAAGCTGCAAGAAGAGAGCACACACGCTCTCCTTTTTTTTAAGTGACAAAAATTTTTAAGCGTTATGCCCCGCCGCCCCTCCGATTCTTGGAGCGCCGTCATGCGGCACACCGCAGTGTTTTACATTTGGCGACGTTAAAAAGGGGAAAACGAACAAAGCAGCCACGAAACGAGGTTATCAAAAAAAAAAAATCCTCGGAGGAAACCACAAAGCGGAGCTATCTTTTCTCCATGTGGGGCTAACTAGCTTGGCAGTGCCTCCTAAGGAATAACCCCACAGAAGGGGAACCCCGTAGGGCAAAGTACATTGTGCTGCTGTCCATTTTCCAACTGCACCTTGATGAGCCTTTCTACACCGCTTACCAAACGGACCATTTAATTCCTCTGATGTGAATTTCTTCATCCATATGTGCCCATGTGCACCGTTACAACATTTCGTGGTTGTAGGTATCTCCTTCTCTGTCTTTTCGCCAAATGAAGCATTGGGAGGAAAACTTATGCACACGAGAACCAGCCAAACGGTCTCGAAGCGATTGCCTAGCGATGGCGCGCGGTGGGGATTTCATTCCCCATCGGAATTTCTACACCACGTTATAGCTTTCTTTTTCGCTCCTGCTTGGCATCCTCTGCATCCAGCTTGTGTTTTTTCTGTTCCTTCAGTTCGTGCCCTTCGTTTCTGTTTGGGTTGTCTCTGCTTCTCCGTTTATGCGGTTTTCGTTCTCTATGTCGGTCTTGGTCTCGTTCTCTTTCTCGGTCTCGTTCTCTTTCTCGGTCTTGATCTCTTTCTCGGTCTTGATCTCTAGCTCTATCTCGATCTCTATTTCGATCTCTATTCCGATCTCTATCTCGATCTCTATCCCGATCTCTATCCCGATCTCTATCCCGATCTCTATCCCGATCTCTATCCCTTTCCCAGTCCCTCTCTCTATCTCGCTCCCTTTCCCAGTCCCTCTCTCTATCTCGCTCCCTTTCCCAGTCCCTCTCTCTATCTCGCTCCCTTTCCCAGTCCCTCTCTCTATCTCGCTCCCTCTCCTGTTCTCTTCCCCTTCCTAATTCCCTTCCCGTGTCCCTGCGCTTGTCGCGCTCCCACTCCCTTTCTCGTTCCCTGTCTCTTTTCCTGTCCCTCTCTCTACCCATCTCTCTGTCCCTTTCTGCGTAGTCTCTCTTGTACCACTCCCTTTCCCTACTCCTATCGTGTATGCTCCTCTCCACCCTACTTTTGCTGTCCCTGATTCTGCCGACCCTTCCGCGGTAACTATGATTATGGTACCCACCCTCCCGGATGGACGAATACCTGCTCCTTTCAGAGCTCTCCTCTCGTCTCCATTGGGTGTCTCCGCGGAAGCTACCATCCCGATGAGTTCCATATTGACCGTATCGCCCACGATCCTCCTCCATGTCCTGTTCCTTCCCTTTATAATTGTTCCCTTTTTTCTGCTTCCAATCTGCTACCCTTTCGCGATCTTTTAAGGGCCGTTTTTTCCTCTCTACAGCTGCGTGGCGATGATCAAATTTTTTAAAAGCGTCACCGCGGGGAGCCCGTCCACTTAGCTCAGTCCTACTTGAATGTGTTACCGCATCACGGTTATATCTGTGGGGGGGTGTTGCCTCCCTTCTGCGTCTTTCTCTGCCATTCGCGTGATGTTGTGTCTGTTTGTTTGTCTCCGTTACAGTTTGCACCTTTTCTGCGTTTCTTTTGTTGGCCACTCCTTTGTTCTCTTGGTTCTGCTCCGCTGTGGGGGGGAAAAAAAAGGTGAGAGGAAGGTGAAGTGGCGCAGATAAATGGAAATTACTCTAGTGAGGTTAATAATACATGTGATTCTTTGCAGCTAGGCCGATGCACCCGTTTCAGCAGATTCATTCGCTTCAGCCGATTCACCCGCTTCTTCACCAGCGCAACCGCCTTTGCGCGGAGTAACCTACCCGTTGGTGGTACCGGGGGGTGTCGCCGTCCGGCTGACGCAGCAGCAGCAGCGGACCGCAGGAGCACCTCGCCATATCGACTGTAAAAAACAGCCTTCCTATAACTCCCTACATTAATGAATCTAAAATTTTCCTGAATCTTTCTGTAGTTTAATTTTGAAGTGTCTCTCTTTTTAAAATTTTTTGTCATGAAGCTATGAGCAGCTTTTATATTATTTCGTTCGTTTATTTTTTCTGGTAAAGGGTTGCTGGTGAACCATGGGTGTTGCATTGCCTGGAGGGCGGACAATCTATCAAAGGGATTCCATTTTAGGAGATTCTTTATGAGATCTAGTCCTACGTCTCCTACTCCTGGTATGCTTCTAATTGCATTTTCTACTTCGTTCTTTTTATTTAGATTCATCCTGTTTAAGTTATTTGGATGCACCGGATTTAAGCTTGGGATATTCCAATTGGGTAGATGCTTTAGGAACTTAATGTCCTTATTGTTTGGGGCTCCTATTTTATTAACAATCATTTTTAGGATGTCTGTTTCGTTTTCTGCTGAGAAGATGGGGTTACTCGTAAGTAGTTCGGCTAATACACACCCACAGCTCCACATGTCGACTGACGAGGTGTAGTGATTCGATCCGAGTAGCAATTCTGGAGGTCTGTACCAAAGTGTGATCACTCGGTTCGTCATATTTGAGGCAGTTCCATCTGCGTGGAATCGGGCTAGACCAAAATCGGCTAGCTTTAAGATTCCATTTTTATCAATTAGCAAATTGGCTATTTTGACATCCCGGTGGATTATGTTATTTCTGTGACAATAATTTAATGCTCTGAGTAGCTGCAGGAAAATGTTCTTCACCTCTCCTATGGTGAAGAGATTTCCGTTTTTATATCTTTCCTTCTGGGCTCGCTCATCCCTCAGCAGCTCGCTGTACCCTGATAGGTCGAACGGCACATACTCGAAAACCATCCAAATGGACGTGTTCGCCTCGACCTTTTTGCAGAATGAAGACAAGGAAGAAGAGGAAGAAGCCATGGAGGAGGAATACGACGACGATGCGCTGGAGGGTGACGATGAGCGGGATGATGATCTGTATAAAGGGGCAACGGCTTCTCCCAAGGGGGAAACTGACCTGGCGAACGACGTGCGGGACGAGGACCGCCTTACTCCGCCGCGCACTAACTTAGAGGAGGCCCTCCGCTGCACTTGCTTGAATTGCTTCAATTGATGCAGCTGGTGTAACCGCTCCGACGTGCTGGGGTCACAGGGTAACGTCGGGAAGTCCTCACTGGGGGGTACTTTGGTGTAAACCACCCCCATTAACTCCACAATATTTTTATGCTTTAAGGAATTCAAAATGGAGATTTCTCTTATATACGTTTTGGCTAGTCCCTCTTTGTTTCCATTTATTTTTAATTTCTTCAAGGCTACCCTCCTATTGTTTGTAATATCTTCTGCCATCCACACATCTCCATATGCTCCCTGACCTACTTGGTGTACTTTCACAAAATTTTTTACCTTCATTTTTATCTCTCCTTTAAGTGAATTGATTAATATTTCGTGAACACCTTGTCCACATTTCTTTGTTTCTATTTTGGCACTCCTTAGCTTTGCCTTTCTCGAAATTTCTTTCCTGATTCGAATAATGCTGTCTCGGGAAAGCTTCGTAACGATACCTTCTTTCCTGTCCCCGCTGCACAGGCCGGCACCCGTGTAGTTGACGTGGTGTGGCTTATCGGGACTGTTCGTCTCTGTCAGATCGTGCGGGTTGAGCAAATACGACGCCAGGGTGGAGCTCGGCGTGTGAGAGGTATCCGAAGTGCGGGGTTTCTTTGGTGGCACGGAGCTACGACCGGCCTTGCTTGAACGGGGTTCATCGGCTACACCGATGGGGGGTGCTACACCGATGGGGGGTGCGACACCACTGCAGCCTTTCTTGCCAAGCCTCTTCGTGCCAGTGGGCTTGACCACTCTTCCCTTGGCCCCTAAACGGGTGAAGCTTGTTTCTTTTTTGAGGCTTTGCGCTTGGTTGGGTTTTCCCACAATGGCGCTTGCGCGTTCCCCTTGGTTGTCCTTACTGCTGGGAGCCCTGCTTCCGAAGAGGCTGTTCCTGCTGTTGGACGCCGCCCTACTGGGTACGTTAGCGAAATTATTCGCACCACTGGAGAGTGCGCTAAGTGCGTGGCAGCCACCACCCATGGGGGGGATCCGGTTCGTAGGGTTAATCGGATTGGTCGGGTTGGTCGGGTTAATCGGGTTTGTCGAGCTAATCTGCTTGGTGACGCCCGTGTCCATCGAACTGGAACACATGGTACTTCCCCTTCGGTTGGCCTCGGCAGCATTGGTTCGATCATCTCGTCTGTTGTATCTCCCTCCGCGTGTGCCACCAGTTATATCCCTCCCCCTGCGGCTTATCCCCTTCTTCCTCAACACCCTGGAAAGTTTACCCATGCGAACTCTCTTGGAGCCCTCCAAAAAATCGATTTCCTGGCACCCCTTCTGCACAATCTTCTGCAAAATCTCTGTCGTTACATCCTCACGCTGACCCATCTGCCAATTTCGAAAGGTGCTTGTCATATACATATCCCACAAGTCGTCCAACCTTCTACTAATTTTTTTAACATTTTTTTGTCCGTCCTTATTTGAGTGCATAATTTTGGCGAGTATGTTCTGTGGGTCTACATTAGGTGGGCCTCCGAGTGGTGCTACTTCGCTTTTCTCTGAGTCATCACATTTGGTTTCACCTCTCCCAGGGCAGTTACACTTCTGGCAGGGAGGGGTAGACGTTCCCGCCTGCTCTGGTGAAGTCGCCAAACGGGGGGGGGGTTCCTTCTTCGTCTCCTTCTCCTTTTCCATCTCTTTCTCCTTTTCCTTCTCCTTTTCCTTCCCCTTCATCTCCTCTTTTTCTTTCCCCTTCTTCTTCTTATTCGCCCCCTTTGTACTTCCCCGCATGGTACCCTTCCCAAACTCGTGCAAATAACGCAGGAACAATTCTTCATTTTCCTTTTCCCTTGACGTAAATTCATTTATCTTGTTAAATACTTCCCTCACATCTTCGTCCCTCAAGTTGTCTATGACCTCTTCGTAACTTTGCCATAATCGTTTTTTAATTTCTTCCTTTTTGAAAATAAAAAAATCATTAATAAGTTTTTTTTTGAAAAGAGGAATTTTGGACAGAAAGGACGATGGACAATCGACATTTTTTAGAAACTCCTTTTTTATGTCTAACTCTAGGGTATTCGTTTCTAGGAAGAAATTTTTCTTGCCGGAACAGAAGTGCGTTCCTGGCCCCCCCCTGAAAATTTCGAGGAACAGATCCCTCCTTCGATCTCGACTTCTTCCCTTTGGACCTGCGTGCTGATCGCTCTGTTGGCTCATCGTTTCGGCAGTCGAGATGTCACGGCCGTCGGAAGGGGAATCCTGCGCACGGTGAGGTGAGAAGAGATCGTTTAGCCTTCTTGGGGCACCGTTATCATGATGGCGAGGGGGAGGAGAAAGGAAAAAGGGTAGGGGCAAACGTGCACGGTCAGACTTGTAATGCCAAATTTGCACAGCCTAATTTGCACAGTCCAAGTGGCAAGGGGAAGTTTTACCCTCACTCGCTATGCTCACCCGTGCATGTGCCCCCCCTGCAGAACACACGCTCAGCCAATTTGTGGAGCAGCGCACATTGGACGGATTTAGCCCCCGTCACACTTCCCGGTAACGCCAAGGTAGTCCCCCACTAAGGAAGACTGCCAATGGGGGAAAACAAAATGGGTTGCACAAAACGACTGGGAAAAATGCCAATCGGGGTGGCTTTTCTCCTCAAGGAAGGCCACATGTGAAGACAGTAGTTTTGGTATGCGCTGGGGGGCCTGTGTAGCAACGGGGTGAAGCAGTGAGATGTAGCAACGGGATGGAGCAGCGTGTTGTAGCAGTGTCGTAGCAGCGTTGTAGCAGCGTGTTGTAGCGGCGGGGCGCGGCAACTACGGGTGGGGGACCCCTCCACTCAGCACGCACAAATCACGATCGAGCGATTACTCCGCTGCAAGTGACGCGCAGGGGAATTAAGAAGCCCGTCCGCGTTCGCGGCTGCGCTCAGCCTAACAAAGCCGTAATGATAAAAAAAATTAAAAAAACAAAAAAACAAAAAAGTTACTAAAAAAATTAATAAATAGTGAGGGAAGAAGATTAACAAAAGAAACCATTTCGAATGTGTCACTTTACCACCCTACTATGCCTGACGCAGAAAATGCAAAGTATCGCCATTCAACAAAGAAAAAAAAAAAATAAAATAAAAAAAAAAAAAGTAAAAAAAATAAATAAAACCTACGGAGAGAACCACATTTCGTGACGGCATATCTCATGCACAAGGAATGACCAAAACATTTTGCAAAAAAAAAAGTAATGTCACCTATAATGACCCACCTGGCAAGCTAAACAAAAGATTCGCGAACTCATCTCACCTGATACACGTTGCAATTTGACGCATTTTACACTCGCAGAAAGAGATCAACATAAGAACTCACATAATAGTGTCGTCCCTCAGACGAGTGTTAACGCAGTGCCACCGCCCAGATAGGACTGGGTATACTTATCCATTTCTTCTGAATGTATCTACATTGCGAGAGTAACATGGGTCCAGAAATCCTCCCATTTTAGTGAGGACGCGTCCATCAAATTGAACCCATGGGGGGAGGAAGTGAGTCCGTTGGTTAGCGCACCAGCAGATCATCGGCCATCGTAACAGCAGATGGTCGCTCATCGTAGTAGAACCTGATAGGGCAATGCATCATCGTCTGATCGAGCACCCCAACACCGGCTCGTCGCCCCTAATGGGAACCCTCCCAGTGTTCGCTGCAACGGGGGCACAAAAATTTAGCCCAGAAGGAGAGAAGCAGAGCAGGGGAGGAACAGAGGAGAGACGCCCCAGCTTGTGTGCGCCTTCCCCCCAGAAGGAAAAAAAAGTGCAGGCGAACCGATTCAGAAGAGACCCCCTAAGTATGGCTCACTCGTTCTAAATTGAACCCGCCTGAAAGTTTCGAAAGAATTATCCTGTAGGTAGAGTGTCTCTTTCTAGATATGTATCATTTATTTTCCGCCTTCTCTTGTGGTGTCCTGTCATCCAACTTAATGGACCAGATGATAAAGCCCCCTTCAAAAGTCTAAGAACTCACATTGTTGA